TCGTACTATCTACAGTTTGTCTTTCGGAATCCTGTAGGGCTTCATAAATATATGCTCAAATCGTGTTTGGAGAAGTGGCTTTTCCTCTTTATCACATCTGTATTTTCCACAATTAAAGCTTTAATATTGAATCATCTCTAACAGCACTTAGCAATAGCACTTAGACTTATATAACTTTACAGCACTCTCCGAGCAGTTTACAAGTGTCAGCATATTGGCCCACCACAATCTGGGTCCTCTTTTTACCAACTTTGGAAGGCTGAGTCAACCTTGAGCCATATCAGGATTGAACTCCAGGTTGTGGGCAGAGTTAGCCTGCAATATGCATTCTAACAACTTCGCCAACATGGCTATTCGTGAGTGTGTGTGTGTGTATCTATATAAACTCCAAGACCAATAAACACAGACCAAGACTCCCAACCAATCAGGGTGAAGAAAAAACCATTCTGGCACAGCAATAGGCTGCCCCAAATTTAAATCTGAAACCACTATAAAAGCCTGACTCACAGATGAACACTATACAGAAGCCTGATGATGGCAGATGAGATTCTGCTGAAACGTCGCTACAACTTTAAAAGCACAACTACAATGGCGTGGGAAAATACCCGAACAAAGCTGAATGCCATACATGTAAGTACCCGCGAAAACTTAAGAAAACATCTATATATCTATATACACTGCTCAAAAAAATAAAGGGAACACTTAAACAAAACAATGTAACTCTAAGTCAATCATACTTCTGTGAAAGCAAACTGTCCACTTAGGTAGCAACACTGATTGACAATCAATTTCACATGCTGTTGTGCAAATGGAATAGACAACAGGTGGAAAGCATAGGCAGTTAGGAAGACATCCCCAATAAGGGAGTGGTTCTGCAGGTGGTGACCACAGACCACTTCTCAGTTCCTATGCTTTCTGGCTGATGGTTTGGTCACATTTGAATGCTGGCGGTGCTTTCACTCTAGTGGTAGCATGAGACGGAGTCTACAACCCACACAAGTGGCTCAGGTAGTGCAGCTCATCCAGGATGGCACATCAGTGCGAGCTGTGGGTTTGCTGTGTCTGCCAGCGTAGTGTCCAGAGCATGGAGGCGCTACCAGGAGACAGGCCAGTACATCAGGAGACGAGGAGGCCGTAGGAGGGCAACAACCCAACATCAGGACCGCTGTCTCTGCCTTTGTGCAAGGAAGGACAGAAGGAGCACTGCCAGAGCACTGCAAAATGACCTCCAGCAGGCCACAAATGTGCATGTGGCTGCTCAAATGGTCAGAAACAGACTCCATGAGGGTGGTATGAGGGCCCGACATCCACAGGTGGGGGTTGTGCTTATAGCCCAACACTGTGCAGGACGTTTGGCATTTGCCAGAGAACACCAAGATTGGCAAATTCACCACTGGTGCCCTGTGCTCTTCACAGATGAAAGCAGGTTCACACTGAGCACATGTGACAGACGTGACAGGGTCTGGAGACGCCGTGGAGAATGTTCTGTTTCCTGCAACATCCTCCAGCATGACCAGTTTGGCAGTGGGTCAGTAATGGTGTGGGGTGGCATTTCTTTAGGGGGCCGCACAGCCCTCCATGTGCTCGCCAGAGGTAGCCTGACTGCCATTAGGTAGCGAGATGAGATCCTCAGACCCCTTGTAAGACCATATGCTGGTGCGGTTGGCCCTGGGTTCCTCCTAATGCAAGAAAATTCTAGACCTCATGTGGCTGGAGTGTGTCAGCAGTTCCTGCAAGACGAAGGCATTGATGCTACGGACTGGCCTGCCCGTTCCCCAGACCTGAATCCAATTGAGCACATCTGGGACATCATGTCTCGCTCCATCCACCAACGGCACGTTGCACCACAGACTGTACAGGAGTTGGGGGATGCTTTAGTCCAGGTGTCGGAGGAGATCCCTCAGGAGACCATTCGCCGCCTCATCAGGAGCATGCCCAGGCGTCGTAGGGAGGTCATACAGGCACGTGGAGGCCACACACACACTACTGAGTCTCATTTTGACTTGTTTTAAGGACATTACATCAAAGTTGGATCAGCCTGTAGCATTTTTTTCCACTTTAATTTTGAGTGTAACTCCAAATCCAGACGTCCATGGGTTGCTAAATTTGATTTCAATTGATAATTTTTGTGTGATTTTGTTGTCAGCACATTCAACTATGTAATGAATTTATGTAATGTATTTAATAAGAATATTTCATTCATTCAGATCTAGGATGTCTCATTTTTGTGTTCCCTTTATTTTTTTGAGCAGTATATGTCTAGATATAGATTTTTTTACCACGAGTTGAATAAATAAATTCATCCCCAAATAAATCTTTATCTTTACTAATTTCCCATCTTAGGTTTTTATCAGTGGATCTTCAGAAAGAGTGTTTTTCACCTATTAAAGCTACTTTTTCTTAGCTTCATTCAAGTTTGTTTTCTGTTTCCCCCTGTTTTACAATGATATTTCTGCCCCTTGTTCTGCCATTATTATCTTTGCACTGCTTCCACACACTCCTAATCACCAATCCATTACGTAATAATCTTCCAGTTGTATTTCAATCTTTCCAAGTATTACTAAGTAGTGGAACTTGCTTCTGCTAAGCAATCCTTATTCATTATATGTCCTTTATTTCTATGGTCTATTGTTAAAACATCTTGGATTACTGTTTCGATGCTTATTTTTTCCTCCTCATATCCTTTCTATTATCTGTTTTTAAGATTCCATCTGCAATTAGTTTTCCATCCTACTGAAGCTGTTTTCTTCCATTTCCTTTAATTAACAAATGCCATTTGTTTCGTTTCTTGTTAGTTCCCTTTTGAGATACCATGAGCCTAAATTAACCCATTTTTTCTTGCTATATCTTCTGACCAGTCCTCTTCATCACTTTACCTGTTCCTTTGTGATCTCTGCAAAATATTGGCTGTATTGATTATTCAAATTAGTTGGCAGGGAAATGACTGCAGTACATTTCTTCATCATTACTGGTAGAAGTTCGTGTTGAGAATTAATTTTACTTAATTTTCCTCATGCAGTGCAGTCCAGTCCAAGGGTCTGTTTAGTGATTATCTGCTTCTGTTTGTCTGTTTGTCTGTCTGTCTTCATCTCTATCTATCTATCTATCTATCTATCTATCTATCTATCTATCTATCTATCTATCTATCTATCGTAATCTATCTATCGTAATCTATTTTTCTATCTATACTCATCTACCTACCTATCTCTCACTATTATTTTTTATAAATCAGCCAGGGTGGCAACATATCTAATATTCTTTCTTCCTCCTATTTTCCCCACAACAACAATCCTGTCAGGTGGACTGGCCAGAGAGAATGACTGGCCCAAAGTCACCCAGTTGGCTTTCACGCCTGAAGTCAGACTCTTCTGGTTTTATACCCTGATGCCTTAACCACTACACCGAACTGGCTCATCCTTCCCTTAAAATATTTATAATGAACAATGGAGCAGCTATAATTCCGATATTGTCTTTCGAATGCGTTGCTTCAAGTAGCATTGTTATATCATAAATGCTATTGGGGTTCAGTATATAACAGGACCCATCAGGGACAACAGTTGGGAATCTCCTGTTCTCATACATGTAACATTCTTCTTTCATTACCTCTATGGTTGGAATATCTTTGTACCGAATAGCCGAAACATTTTTCATGTTTTAAATTTTGGATTGCCAGACTCAAATTAGCTCTATTATTGCTGACATTTGATTTTCCTGTTTTGCAACTCTGTAATTGTGTTTTGCATCTGCCTGATTTTCTCTTTCGATAACTTTTCATGGCTGCAGCAACATGGGATGATTACTTGCATTTCTCAACCTCCCTGTTATTTTCCTGTAACTTTTCCTTTAAGGCTTTCCCTTCTTTTGAATTCCTCCAAATTCCTCCTCCTGTAGATTTACTAAATGTGCAGTAAACCTGGTGTATGATACACAAGGCTAACCCTCATGTTGTCATAGCATAATACCGTAGTAGCCTATCCTTTGGAGTCTTAATTGCTTTTGGAAGCATCTCAACAACGTTCTGTTCAGCTGTTCTATCGGCTCAAAGCCAGCAGAGGGAGTAGCATAATAGAAGGTGACAGCCCAAAAGAAGCCATCACCGGCTTTCAGAGATTTTGTGCAAGAGCTGGTCCCTTGAGCATACAATTGTAGGAAAGGAAGGGAACGTGGTGGCATGGGGCTTATCAATGAAAGCCAGTTGTGCTTTGTAACTTTGGCCAGCCACACTTGAAATGTCCAAGCTTCCCTTTTCTACATAGAATGTCAGATACTTAGAATAAATTCTGGCTATCAGATGGTCTAGAACGGGGGTCGCCAACCTTTTGGACCTCAGGGACCACCAAACTCATAATTTTAAATCCCAAGGACCCACTAACGGGTTCTGTGGGCGTGGCCTAATTTGTGGATGTGGCTTGGTGGTCATATGACTGGCTGGGCATGGCTTGTATGTAAATATTATAAATATTTATATAAATATTGAATTTTTTATTACAAAAAGCAACTTTTATCCCAAATCAGGCAAAGCGGGCAGGCAGATTGAGTTGCTCAGAGAATCACAGATTTATTCAGAAATCTATCTATCTGCCATTGGCTAGCTCAGTCTGTCACATGAAATTTGCTTGCAAGCAAACTCATAAAAATTGCTGGCAAGCAAACTCACAAAATTAACTCACAACGTACCATGTATGTAAATGTGGAATTTTTTATTTTAAAAAAAAGCAACTTTTACCCAAAAGCAGGCAAAGCAGGCAGGCAGATTGAATTGCTCACAGAATCATTCAGTGATCTATCTATCTGCCATCGGCTAGCTCAGTCTCTCAAAATTTGCTTGCCGTGAGTCTGCACTGAATAATAGAACCTTCAGTCCTAAGGGAGGTTCAGTCTGCTTAAAAGCAGAGCAAAAGATCTAAAGACTAGCTAGAAAGCAAGGTTTTTAAGAGAGTCAGAACTTGTGAGCGTCATAAACTGCCATGACCACAATTTCCCTTTTGTCTTCTTTCTAGACCTCTCTTCTGTGGCAAATCAGAAGCTGACCAACTGGGCAAGATCTTTGAGTGAGTCTCAACTTCTTATTATGTACCAAAGGTTGTGGGTCAGTAAATCATCACAAAGAGAACGTTGTTATCATTATCTAGAGCATTGGTTTTGCTCAGTGTGACTTGAGGTAGCTTGACTGATCCTGCGCTACAGAAAGATGCAGAGCAAAGGCTTGTGAGTTGGGTTTAGTGAGCCAGAGAAAGCAGAAGTGACTCATTATAGCTGCGGGATCCTATTCTGTTGATCTTTCTAATTGAGCAAATGGCCAGAAGTAATAGGGGTTTGGCCACTGGCTTTTGTTGCGGGTTAAAGCGAGGACATTGTAACATTCAAGGGGCAGGGCCTCTTATGGAGGATGCTGGGAACTGTAGTTGAACAATATCTGGAGAACACAGATTTCCAGTTAATGTACTAAAAAAAGATAGTAAGAAACTATATGAATAGAATTCGATCTGTTTTATTGTTGAAGTTTAATGGTTAGTTGTGCTTGATTCCAGTTAAATTGCATGATCTTCATACTAGGCAGGGCCACAGGGGAAGTATTATTTAGGGGAGTTAATCTTGTTCTGCGCTTACAAGCTCTGGAAATCCTGATTTAGAACAATGATTACAAGATGAAAAACCATTCATTTGTGTAATTTGAAGATGGGGGCTATGGCTGGGAAGCCTTCGGAGTTGCAGCCTTGAAACCAGTCTTGAGTTGGATCTAGCTCATGTTCTTCCCCCTTCTTTCCTTCAGCCTGATTGGTCTCCCTTCCGAGGAAGATTGGCCATTGGACGTGTCTCTACCACGCTGTGCCTTTGCTGCTCGCTCGCCACAGCCTGTGGAGAACTTTGTCCCAGAAATCGAGGTCCTGGGAGCTCAGCTGCTTTTGGTAAGTTCCGAGATACCAGAGTAATTTCAGCACAAACCAGAGCAAAATGGGAGTTGAGCATTGGGGATAGAATGATCCTTGAGAGCCTGAGCTTGCTATTATTCTGAGACTGGAAATGTGCAACAAAGGAGAGATTTCCGATCTAGGTAGCTTACACGAGTCACTAAGTCATTGGTTCTTTGCACCCCACCGAGTTTTGGTGACTCGGTATTTGATAACCAGGAGCGACTTAATTTTCCTCCAGTCGTGCTGCTGGTGGCAACTACAGCTAGCATCTGAATAATATGTACTGTGTGAAATTCAACATTAATCAGAGAATAGCGTGAGCAGTACTTTCAGAGTGAAAGTTCAAGTTTTAGAGGCACGCCAGGGATCTGTCTCTAGGATCTGAGGACTGCGGAAGTTGGAGCCATCTCCATGGCTCCAGTTCTTGGTTTGCTTGCCTTCAGGCCCTCTCTTGTGGCTCTTGCTCAGGAGGGATTTGGAACACAGCTGCAGGGTGGTGGGTGAACGTGTGTGCATGTATGTTTTCGTGAGATTGTATGTAATGGATTTCCTTTTTCGTGTCTGCACCTCTCTAGGAAATGCTGACGTTCAACCCACTGAAGCGTATATCTGCCTTCCAAGCCTTGCACCATCAGTACTTTCAGGACAAGAACGCAGGTGAAGGGTAGCACCCCAGCGAATCCCTAAGCATGGGGGAAGAGAGACTGTACAAAAGACTTTGTGAATATGCGTTTAACGTGAACCCTCCTCACCAAGTGGATACACTCAGACTAGTCCCCAAACTGTCCTGGCTGTGCTGGGATTGAAAGGGTGGGAAGGACAAAGCTTTTGACAACATGCATGAAAACAAGAGAGGATCGCCTTGCAGGAAACGCGCCATTGAAATCCTTTCCCGCCCTGAAAACGTTAGGACATTATATAGTGGCATCTCTCTTGTCACCATGCACGCGCATTCCGTATTCCTGGGTTGATCTCCAGTGGTGTTCTTGGAGGTCTGTTTGTATTTGGGACAGCCTGGTTTGAGGCATCTCGGTCATCTATGGGTTCTTTGCCAAAGGTCTCTTTTGGATAGCCCCCTTTTCCCCCCCTCTCTAATAAATTTTTTTTATAACAGTTTACACATAATAATACTGCTGCCTTATCACATTCCTGTGGCTAACAGTTTGACACTAAAGCCTTGCCTTAGCACGTTGCAGAGCTCCACAAAAAATGGGAGCAGAAGATTATTTTTGTATAAGCCTTCACTATTCTTTTTTAAATTGCCAAGACACCGGTCAGGACAGACCTACGCTGTTGGCTATCTCGGCATGGGGAACATGTTCAGATGAGAGGCACTCTCCATCTGTTTGATTCCAAATATTAATGTGAAACATTTTTAAAAGGCTTTTAAAAATGATAGCATTTCAATAAAGGATATATGGGTGAGGTCCAGGCAAGTATAGTTTGGCCTTTCCCTTTTCTTGTCACCTGACATCTCGCGTTGTGATTAGTTTGTTGAATTGTTATCTGGGTTGGATTACTCAAGTGTTGATTCATCCACACTTCAAAGGGCTTTCAGGAACAGAAATTCATACTGCTAAACCTTTTGCTTTTCAAATTGGAAATCTGATGCTTCACTTTGTGTGTTCTGTGACATGTACTGATTTTTCAAAATCTCCCCAAAGAGAAGTTATTGTAAGTCCTGCTCCTTGCCTGATCTGTTAATCAGGATCCTGACAAACTGACTTGAACATTCTTAAGCTTTGCTTAGTTCTTCTCCTCTCTCCTCTTCTCTCCTCTCTCCATCCCCTCCCCCCCCTCTCCTCTTCCCTCCCTTCTCCTTTCTTTCCTTTCCTTTCCCTTCCCATTTTCTTTTCTGTTCTCCTTTCCTTATCCATTTCGCTTTCTGTTACATAGTTTTCTTTTCTTTTCCCATCTGCCTTTCTTTCTTGAGGGCTGCTTTGCCCTTTACCATGGGTCTTATGAAGTTGATGTAGTTCTACAAATCTAACACACTCCTTTAGCAAGTATGTTAGATGCAGTAGAACCTCTTGTCAACATACAGATATGCTTGAACTATCTTGCAAGAGGATGAAAAGACAAGTCTTGTTCATATTGGCAGATCTTTGTTTCTAGGATAAAACAGGAAAGAAGGCCATGGTAGGATGCACTTCTTTCTTTCTTTCTTTCTTTCTTTCTTTCTTTCTTTCTTTCTTTCTTCCTTCCTTCCTTCCTTCCTTCCTTCCTTCCTTCCTTCCTTCCTTCCTTCCTTCCTTCCTTCCTTCCTTCTTTTCTTTTTTCTTTTTTCTTTTTTCTTTTCTTTTCTTTCTTTTTCTTCCATCCATCCATCCATCCATCCATCCATCCTGATTCAACTCTTACAGCTTTTAATGAACTTCTAGGAAAGGGCCTGAGGAATGTTGAAGTGAAAGCCCAAAAAAGTGTTGCCAGTGCTTTTATGAATGTGGGATTTAGCCAAGTAAAAGACACTGTTTACATTTTTTACTTGCAAAAATATGCCTTTGTTCTAAACAATTTGTTTTTGTTTTTTTTTTGCTGAGGGGAGTGGGTAGTTGAAGGAAATTGTTTATATGGGAGCTCATACGTCAATATCCAGGTAACTTCAACAAACTGTTTTTTTGTGTGTTCTGGTTTTGCCAAGATACGCTGAAGTCTGGCTGTGTGGCATGGATAGCCAATTTAAACAATGTTTGGTGTGTTTTGTTATGGGGAGAAGGGAGTGACTGTTTTAAGAAGAAGAAAAAAAACCCTTGACAGAAGTGCCATATGACAACCTGGAATCTAAGCCAAAACTCAACTGGGAATTTGGTTTATCTTCACCATACTGTGAGAAGATCATCATGCTCAGCATTTACAACCATAGTAACAACCATTTGTTTCTTTTTTGCTAATACGTTCCTCCTATTTTTCTTATTTTAGCTGTTAAACTGTTATAATGCTCTATTTGAATAGGATTCTGTCTCTCCCCCTCCGATATATTAATCAACCATTTTTCTAACCCAAAATACTTTTTTAAAGAGGTTCCTTATAAAAACATATTTTTGTATGCACCTGATTTGTACTCAAAACTAAAGAGACAAACTGGGGAAATTTGGCTGCTTTTTTTTTTTCCTTTTACAAATCAAAGGTATTGATTTTGATCCAGCTAATCAAACTGTATTTGTGATGTATCCAAATCTCTGGATAACAAACTGCCTGGTAACTGCATTGTAATACATCCAGTGGTGTATGTTATTATGTATTCTTCTGTTGATGATCAAAGATCTGAGCTTCGTAATTGATTTTGCTGTATACAGAAACGACAGTACATCGTATGTATTCTTTGAAACATATATGACTCTGGTACATATGTATGCTCAGGGGCAGCTATTGTATGTGCCTTATATTGAAGTTTATTTCCATTTATGTAGCTCAAGACACCATCTATATGTTGCTATTTTGATAAAAAGAAATATACAATTGATAGCTTTTCTTTAGTAAAGAAACATAGAATTGAAGCTGAAGTGTATTTTGAGCACCCCACGTGCAACCTGCTCTCTCGTTTTTTGTTGCTAATCTTACTTTGCTAAGAAGTGATCTCCTTTCAACTATGAGGTACAACAGAGTTCTGTGCTCCCTCTGTTCCCTTTTAACATCTACATCAGGGGTGTCAAACTCGATTTTATTGAGGGCCACATCAGGGTTGTGTTTGACCTCAGGAGGTCCAGGGTACGTGTGGCCGGCTTGACGTCACTTGTGTCGGGGGCACCTCTGGTGGCTCCATTTTCAACTGCGACAGCTTGGGAGGGCTGTGTGTGGTGCACCTGAGCTCCATTTTTGCTGGTAGAGGCACCGCGGGCCAGTCCTTGCAGATCAGATCTAAGCAGCTTGCAGGCTGGATCTGGCCTGTGGTCCTTGAGTTTGACACTCCTGATCTACATGAAACCCCCCGAGTGAGATTACCCATCACTACAGGAGGAGTATCATAAGCATGTGAATGATACCCAATTGTACATCTCTTGTCTGGGATGAACCGAGTGATGCCGTGGATGATGTTCTGCAGGGCTTGGAAGCCGTGGGCATCTGAATGAAGAACGGGCTTCAACTGAACCGTGGGAAGACAGTGTGGCTGTAGGGCTGTTCTGTATCTGGGGGCTTATCATTGATCCTGGATGGGATTGAAGTGTCTTAGCTGGACCCAGTGCATAATGCAGGGATCCACCAAGATTCATAACTCCTATTTCAAGGAGCAGATAGCAGAAAATGGCTAGGAAGGCCTTTATTGTGGTTTGTTGTACACCAGTTGTCCCTTCTCTTGGATTGGGAAGCCCTTCTCATTCATTCTCTGGTCATCCCCTATACGAACTACTGCCAATACTCTTCACACTACTAACCGTTGTAAAATACCTGGAAGATGCAGCTCTTGCAGAGTGTAGCAGTGCAGGCATTATGGATGCCTCTAAGGCAGGGGTCCCCAATCCCCAGGGCCTTTTGGAACCAAGCTGCAGAAGCGGGGGAGGAGCGCTTACATTGCCACTTGAGCAAACAGCGGGCAAGTGCACAACTAGTGGGTGAGCATGCGTGTGCCCACCACACACACAATCCTCTCCCCCCGCCCTAAATCTGTGAAGTCAGAAAGGTTGGGGAATTCTATTCTAGGGCTGTGTGTGTGAGCTGCATTGGATGCTGGGTCCAGTTGAAGAGTGTTGGATATAACTGCTAAAGCCCATCATGGCATGGGCTCAGGTTATCCGAGGAATCGTCTTGTCCCGATTGCAACTGACCCACCCCAGCTAGTTTAGAAGGAAGTCCTATCAGCTAAAGAATTTCGACTGGTGGGATTCAGGGAAAGCCTTTTTTTGCACCGCTCCACTCCATGGAATATCTTGTTCCCGGAGGTGAGGTTGGCCCCGCTCCCTCTTCTGGCCTTCTGGAAGAGTGTTAAAAATCTGGTACTGCTAACATGGGAATCCAGTAGTGGTATGTAGTCCTCCTGGCAGTGGTGTTTGAGAATGCTCCCTCTGTCCTTTTAATTTTGACATTTTTATAAGGATTTTAATGGCCTTTTTGTTTGTCAGCCACCCAGTCCCTTACAGAGTGAGATTAGGCAGTGTATAATAATTAAAAGCATAGCAACAATTGAGTCAAAAATTTCTATTGCTAAGTGAGAAATCTTTTAGGTAAGTTTTGCCCGATTTCACGACCTTGATTGCCACAAATAAGTTAATCGCGGCAGTGGTTCAGTTAATAACTTGGTTGTTAAGTGAATCTGCCTTCCCTATTGACTTTGTCAGAAGGTCACAAAAGTGGATCACGTGACTCCGGGACACTGCAACCGTCATAAATGAGTCAGCTGCCAAGCATCCGAATTTTGATCACGTGACATGGGGATGCCACAACGAGATTAGGTGAAAAATGGTCATAAGTCACTTTTTTCAGTGCCACTGTAACTTTGAACAGTCACTAAATGAACTGTTGTAAGTCAAGGACTACCTGTAAATTAAAAACAGACCCCTTTCCCCTGGTGAGAAACCACAATCTCCTTTTAGGGTCAACCATGTTTATAAGACATCCCAGTGTTTGATAATTAGGATTAAAAAAAAAAAAAAGTTTAAAGCCATTGTCTTCCTAACTTGGGTTCCAAGTTCCTGGAGGCCCTCACCATTGCCTGGTGAAATAATGCTGGGTTGTAGGAATCCTAAGGTTTGAACTAATCAGGCCAATGTACTGGCTCCTGATAGATTGAACACAAAAGCCCACCTACCCGTCCTTCGGTGCTATGGCTTAATTCTTGATCAGCCTCGACTAGCTTCACATCAAAGGGGGAATGCTACCACACCTTGCTGGGAGCAACTATGAAGCAGGGTTGAACCTTCAAAAGCTCTAACGTTAAAGGTTTCGGTTTTTAGCAGAGCAAGATGGCTGCTGTGTGAAGGCTGATTTTGTTTTAATTGTATTTGTAAGCACCAGCATTGAGGACAGTATGTCTTAGAGCAAAATTTCCTTTACGGAACCTATCGCCACCTGACCTTTCTAACGCTGCTGCCATTCCTCCCCCAAGGTAGGAAAGTAGCAAGTACTAAAGAAAAACGCTCGAAGACCTGCATTGGACAGAAATGAATTTATTTAAATTGCCTGTTGCAACAGGAGCAGTTCCATGTGTACATGATGGAAAAAGTATGTAGATCTTAAAGCCGTAGGCAGCTCTGAATACATCAGATTGCTATTTTCTGATAGGTTCTTTCCGTCACCCTCTCTATCAACCGCCACCTCAGGGCCAAAATAGTCCCTAGCAAAGAAAGGTGGATTGAGACAAATAGCCTGCAAATACCCTCCATTTTATGTATTTAATGCATGGTATCTGTCTATCCCTTCTTCTAAGGTAAACAGGATAAGTCAACCATGGCTACAGTCCAGTTTTCACTTGCCACCTTATATAAAGTGCACATTGAATTGTTTCAATCAGTTCCGGTGAGTAATGTAGCTCAGTAGACCGCCAGCACCTTTCCCCAGTGTATAAAGGTATCTCCCCCTGCCTAATGGGAGACTCATAAGATTATTCTATAGCAGAAACATCCTCTTGACCCAGGAGACGTGTAGAATTATAGGCCAGTCTCAATATTCCAGTTCATGATATAGTGATGGAAGAATGCAGTGGCCCTGCAGCTAAATAATATTGATTTTTTTTCTGGATGAATATCAAGCTTTCAGCCAGATCGTAGAATTAAAATACCTTTGGTTGCCTGGCTGTCTCGCCTGTTCTGCAACAGAATGGGACAACTTGCTGCAGCCAACTGCAGCCACTTCACCATGGCCAACTCAGCCTGGGACAACTCACCATGGCCAATTTGCCATGGGACAACTCAATTATTTGAAATAATTTTTTGTCATTCGCATTTCATTTTGTTCCTCCTTTTGCATTTGTTCTTTAATGATTCTATTCCACCATTTCTTCAATATTAGTGTAACTCTTATTCCATGGTGATTGACCATGGCAACTTGTCTTAGGAACTTTGATGGGAGTATAGCCCTACCAGTTCTGTACCCATTGTCATTTTTACTATCACCACTATACCATGTAGTGGACTATAGGATAGATTTACTGGACTATAGAGTAAGATCAGAATCTTATTTTATCATGGTTCTAATCATTCCGGATCCAGAAGGTGGTGCTGAGGTATTAATTGGGGTTGCCTCTTGATGCCTGGTAGGCTTCTATCTTGCTCTCTATACTGTCAGAATAAAACCGTGTGTGTGTGTGTGTATATATATATATATTGTCTGTCAGAATAAAACCGTGTGTGTGTGTGTGTGTGTGTGTATATATACATATATATATATATATACACACACACACACACATATATATATATATAAGGGTATTCCCAGCTGATGTTAACCTACTCTTGCTCATCATTCAGTTCCAAGAAAGGAACTAGTTCCTGTCAAGTCAATAATGCAACTCGATGAACAGGAACAATCCAAAATTAAATCCAAACGAGTTTTCAAATGGGAAACTGAAAATAGAGATCAGCCTAATTTAGAGAAGATTCTCTGAAAGAGCAGGTTCCCAGGCTGGGAGTACTCCTTGAGCTTCAAATGTCACTGGATTCTCATGTGAGGTGAGTGCACCCTTGTAGTTACATCTAAAGTAATTGCACCTTTCCCAGGTTGGTCAGGTTTGATGACAAGTTATCAATGAGTTGTTACTTCATGTCTGAACCCCTGCAACTTTTTCATGAAGACACTCTTTTTAAAAAGACTGCACAGAAACTGCACTTACTCCAAAAAGCAGCGTGAGGATCCTAACTAGTGCAAGGTACAAGGATCCGGTGAAGCCTGTACTAAAAGTTCTCTGGTTTGCCAGTTGCTTCCTGAGCATAATTGAAGGTGTTAATGTTAACCCTGACATCTTTAAATGGCTTAGAATCTGTCCCATGATTCACACTTTTATAGTTGTTGGGATCTCCAGGGCAGGTTCTTTTCATGTTGTCTCCCTTGTGCAACTCTTATTTTGGGGGTATGGGAGAGGGCCTCACTCTCAGATAACACTCATTCAGGAGCTGCAAATGGCCACCATTTTTTAATTTTATTTTTATTTTTTTGCATTTAGGAAATCTGTTAAGATGCATCTCTCGCCAGGTGCTTGCTTTATAGAGACAACTTCGGTTATTCGTCATCTATTCACATTTGCACTCTGTTATTAGCCAACTTTTGTAATCCTCAGAAGGATAGAGTCCACATCAAAAGGATAGAGTACACACCAAATGTTTACAATGATCTTCTCCCACTTTTTCCCATCTCAACTTTTGACTGGAATTGTAGCCCTAGCTCAAAAAAAAAAAAAAAAAAGCAGTCTAGAGAGATCAATCTTTCTCAATCCACCCTTGTTTTCAAAAGGCAGAACAATGTTTTGGGGTTTATCTGTACCATTTAATGCTACTTTATCGGCCCAGGATGATAACGTCAAAAGAGGCCAGCCGTAGCTTTAGGAGTCGAGAAGAATTTGCCAAGCTATTTCCACCTGCCTTATATAAGGACTTGCTCGCAAAAGGTGCCACTGATTATGAGACATTCCCTAATTTATAAATAAACAGTACGGCGTGTGTAATAAGGGTGCAGCCTATGAAACATTCAAGGTTTCACGAGGAGACATTCATACTCATCAAAGAGAAAGCAGTCCGTGTTTCCTTTCCCTCCGTTAAAAGGGAACGTGCTTCTGCTTTTCGTCTTGAAGACAATGGGTCTTTCCAATCTCGGTCCTTGAAAGATCTGGCTTTGAACGGACGCCTCCGTAGGAGCTTCACTAGGACCTTTCTTGACAGAGAGACCGATAGCATGGCAACCATCTTCCCTAGGCTGTCATCTAGCTCACTTAATTCTATACAAAGCCCATTGTTAAATGTGTAACATGCTTGTGCTCAGCCGCAGCTTCCCTTGTTAAAAAGTAGAACAAAAGAAATTGCATATGAGAATGATAGCAGGCTGAAATCGGAAGCAGGGGGAGGGGCTTCTACACAAGCGGGCTAGCGTTCAAACAACGGAATCCCCATTGGGAGGGGGTAGCTAAGATCCTCACATACATCCTTACTCACAACCATTAAATACAGGGGAAACAACTGAACAGAATAGGACATATCTAGGACACACCAGCATACAACAGTTTCAAGTCTTCATCCTCCACCACAGGAAGAATATTGCAAAGGAACTTGGGATTCAAAACTCAGGCTGGTATCACTCAAGTTCCTTTTGTTCCAAAGGTGTAGAATTATGATTTCACTTTAGGAGGAATCACTTTAAAAGCCAGTTTTAAGAATTTTTAAAGATGTAATTGTGATTACACTATGAGCCAGTGAGTTCGCCGGTCAGTTTTAGGCAGATCATGACCTTCCTCTTTGAAAAGAGGCAGCCTAAAGTATATGATTGTAAATTCTGAATTTAGATCAATTTCAATTTTGGCTTGTAAAACAAAATCCTAAAATAAGACATATATCATGCTTATTTATACTAAATCTTTCCCCAGAGCTGCTTCATCTAGCACTCGTGTTTACTGTGTTTGACCATAGGAAACACAAATTTGGGAAGAGCAGGCAAACCTGGTGGAAAGTAATTTTATGGGACAATTGTTGCCTCTGCTGCTTAAAAGGTAAGGCAAAGCGCTTTACCTTGTCAAGATGAAGACACTTGTGAGGGGAAAAAAAGCAGCTTTAAGGAAAATCTTTTTTAAAAAACACGGGTACGATAATACAAATATTTTAAAAACACCAAAATGATTGTAGTTATGATGAGTCAACAAAATGATTTTTCACTATTTTACGTGATACCAACTAATGTCTGCCTTTTTCTTCCAGTACTGGATCCCTTTGCCCCATGTCAAAGGCTTCATGTCATGGATGAGACCTTCGCTTGCTATTTCATCCTATCAGCGTTTTGGCATAAAGGCAAAATTCCTCCTCATAGGGCCTGTGAGAGTGGTTGGCAACCAAATGATGGAAATAGGTCTTAAATAAGCAAGAAGTGACTAACTAAAAAGGAAACCTGGAAGGTGGTAGGAGAAAGAACTATAAAAAGGCACTGGGGTTGGCTCTGGGATCCTTCTGGTTTCGGTAACGCATTGCAAGCCATACTCCAAGGATCTGAAAGGCAAAAAGAAATCCAATTACAAGATTTCATTCCTTCATCCCAACATGCTTATCTTATGAATGGTTAGGAAATGATTTGCCATGATCAAAGCTGTCTCTTTCACATATATGGTAGGAACCCTTTTCAGCTTTCAGAGTTAAATTCATAGAACTTCCTTGGCAACATGATCTTTGCTGAGAATTGGGAGTTGTGGTCCATTGCTCTAAAAGTAGTCTGTTTTGTCTATCAGCCCTGGAATGCCCTCCCTTAAATTGCCAAATTAATTCAAACATCGTTTCCATTCCAGTGCTAAATTAAAAAGTAGCTATTCACCCAAACTTTAGAGAAGTAGGAGCTACAGCTTATCCCTGATGTGTAATTGTCAAAGGGGTAGGTTTTAATGTTACTCAGATGACTTAATTATCTCCACTGGTTGTATCAAGAGCCAGTCTGGTGCAGTGGGTTAAGGCACCAGGCTAGCAAGCAGGGACTGTGAGTTCAAGTCCCGCCTTAGTTACAAAAAGTCAGCTGGGTGACTTTGGGACAGTCACACTCTCTCAGCACAACCTACCTCACAGGAACTGTTGTAGGGAAAACAAGAGGAGGAAGATATGTTGGATATATTTGCCGCCTCGAGTTATTTATAAATAATAATAATAACAATAATAATAATAATGATGATGATGATGGTGGTGGTGGTGGTGGGATACAAATAACTAAATACATAAATTCTCTCCCTAAGATCAGGGGACATTTCAAACACTTAAATCATGGGTGTCAAACTCCATCACATCACGGGCCAGATCGTGACGTGTCGCAATGTTCTTTTGCCTTTGCAGAGCCGGGGTGGGCGTGGTCTGCACGCGACATATCCGGCCCACGGGACACCAGTCTGATAGGCCTGATGTAAATGATTGACTGTTTTACCTAGGCTAGGTAGCCCTACTTTTGTTTAGTTTCATAGACATAATTACCTCTGTGAAACTGAAGAAGAGTCCAACTCCACCAAGGATTTTCAAAGCCTCATCTGCATGTTCCATCAGCACAACGCCACATTTGAGGCATGCAATCTTTGTTTTTGTGCATGGCTGCATGAGGTGACAAAACGCAGTGTAACTCTGTGTTCCCCGTTTGTAACAGACAACCAGAAATGTTCACCTATTTGCAGACACCATTAGCAGCAATCAAAAATTGGACTCAATTAGGATTTGGATTGCTCTTCCTCGGAAGCTGTTCACTGGTGAAATATCAAGTGGCCCTACCCAGTTATTTCTATGCAGAAGGAAGTTTCACGCTTACAAAATAAAATACAATAATGGATAGAGACCAGCCAAAACTGACTCTCAACTGTTAACTCCACTGGCAGCATTTTCGAAAGATGTAGCTCAGCACACCTGAACAGAACCACAACAGAAGAAGCAGAACATTTCAGGCACACTCATTTGTTGCATCAAAAATGCTTGCAGGAATTCATATACCATAGGCATTCTGCTCTGAATTTAATCCTGGGTAGTCTGCTCTAAATAAGATGAGCTGGTTTGGAAAAATACTTTTACAACTACAAAATGCACAATATATGGATTCATAAATAACATAGCAATGCTGTTTTTGTCTTAATAATGTTTCTGAACCTGCTGACATTATCCAAAAGGGAATGCAACACTGAAGCTAGTCTGAACCAAGGGCCCCTTTCTCAGCCTCTTGAGGGCTGATTAATTCCAAGTACTGGAAGCCTGAAGAGTCTCAGATTTGGGGTTTCCTTGTTCATCTTTGGTATGCCTGAACTTATGACAGCAGAAGCCAACAGGAAGGTAGTGTAATAACTGCAGATGCTGTGGGTTGGCAACTAATGGTATAGTGGTGATTGGGAGTTGCAAGCTGGACTTTGCTGTGAGAACTCCCTCTGCCATTGCTCTGGTGGCTGGTTTGGAAGAGAAGGACTTTCTAAAACAGTTTGGATCTTTTTTAACAGAGACTAAAACAAGAATGTGTCTTGGAACAATTTAGAAATCAGTTTTCATCAACATGAACCTCCTTTAGGGCTGCTCCCCACACAGGAACTGTTGAGATATTATTGGATCTAGAATTTGAGTGAGGTTCATATTAGTCAATAGGGCATCTAATTTTTGAGTAGCTCCTTTCCTCTAGTGAGAATAGGCTGGGTGAGCAGATGGGGGAGGCAGCTAGATATGCAGGTGTGCTACATGGACATGGCAGAAGATGAATGGGGGGGTTGAATCAGCTCACTGTTACAGTGGTTGACTGTGGTTCTGTGCTAGAAGGCAGAGGGTTTCTTTGTTTGTCTTGATCAGGGGATATAGGCCAGGGTGACTGTAACAGTAACAGTATAATAGGGATTTTGAAGGCCTTCTAATCCAATCTCCTGCTCAAGCAGGAGGCCCTATATCTGTGATGGCGAACCTATGGCACACATGCCACAGGTGGCACGCAGAGCCATTTGTGCTGGCATGCGAACTGCAGGCAAACTTACCTCATTGCGCATGCGTGCACCTCACAGCTGATTTTCAGCTGGTTTGAGGCCTTTTTCAGCCTCCCAGAAGTGATTTTCAGCTGGTTTGAGGCCTTTTTCAGCCTTCCTGTAATACCAGAAGTGATGAAACGGGCCTATTATTCGGCCTGCAAAGCCTGCAGAGGCTTTTTTCAAGCCTCTGGGAGGCCGAAAAAGGCCTCAAACTATCCAAAAGTCAGCTGTGAGGTACAGTGCAGGTAAAGGGGTGGGGGGGCATGGCGGGGGGGACACGCATTGCCTTCTGGGTGCTGGCACGTAAGCGTGTGTATGCAGAGAAGCCCAAAAAGGTTAGCCACCACTGCCTTATACCATTTTGGACAAATGTCTGTCCAATCTCTTCTTTAAAATCTTCAGTGATGATCCACAACTTCTGGAGGCAAGCCATTCCACTAATCATTTGTTCTCACTGTCAGGAAATTTCTCCTTAGTTATAGGTTTGTAGTCTTCCTTGATAAGCTTCCCTCTGTTACCAGGGGTGGGTTTCTACTGGTTCTGTCCACCTCTGTAGAACCGGTAGCTCTGAAGAGCAGCAGACACAGAACCAGTTCTATGCTGATGTTTTTGCCCACCTGGGCTCTTACCTAGTCTTTATTTCCTGATTTTTCAACTTCAGCTGCCCAAACAAGGCACAGCTGCAGGTAAAAAACAGGAAAAGAGGGCTGTTTCAAAGGCTGCTTCTCTGCACGCAATGTGCTGATGACGATTTACAGGCGTGCACACAGCTTGCAGCGTGCAGGGAAGCTCATAAATCCCAAACCAGTACTTAACCCAGTCGTAACCCACCCCGGTCTGTTACTTCTTGTTCTGCCCTCAGGTGCTTTGGAGAAGAGGTTGACCCCTCTTCTTTGTGACTGCCCCTTAAATATTGGAAGGCTGCTGTTATGTCACTCCTACTGCTTCTCTTCGTTAAGGCTAGACATATCCAGGTTCCACAACTGTTCATCATCATGTTTCAGCCTCCGGTCCCCTAATCACTTTCGTTGTGTATGGGTGGAGGAATGAGATTACAGTCATGACGGGCCCATTGCCCGCCCATTGGAGGTATGGCAGGAGGGTGAAGATGAATCACAGGAAATAAATTCTTGATATCTTCAATCGTCACTCTCCTTTTTTCAGCTTCCAGCTCTCATTCTAAAAACGAGATTGCTGGAACCCAGACTCCGGCAGCTGCTATTGACTGGTCTGTCTATTATTATTTAATATCTATTAAAATCAGTGTATGAGAGTTGGGCAGATTAATCAGTTTAATAAATAAATAAGGATGCCTGACACTTCTCATTTGCATCACTGAAACCTAAGAGGAGGAGGTCATGTTCTTCTCTTGGACTGCCAATCTTGGATTTGGAGTTTGCAACCACAGCGAGAGTCCTGAGATGAAGGAAGCTGGGTAGATTCTCTCTGCATCAAGTGGAATTTCACTGCAGATAGCCAGGTGCCAATCCTTGTTTGTGCCAAATGAGTTTACCCCTCCTGTACCATTCCTTCTTTTACATTGCAGCATTCATATCAGAACTACTAGATGTGATTGGTGGGGTGGAGATGGGGTACCCCAAGCTGATAGTTTTGGGAGAAATTCAGCCTGCCTTTCCTTTACAAGGGTCATGGTATGAGTCAGGAGTAAATGGCTGCCATGACAATTATGGGCCTAATGCATATGAAAAAAAAATGTACCTTAGATTTGTACTTTGTCTCAATATGATCTGACCCATGACCTTTGCCTGTTGTGGAGAATTTGCTTTATGACTGCTGGGGACTTCTACGATGGAACCACCTCCTCAGTGGAAAAAGGCCTATTAACCCAAGTGCCTAACGGATGCTGAAGAGTGTGAAATAAATAGAAATAAACAAATCTGTATCTTTAATACTGTGGCCCTTTTTAAAACGACTTGATCTTTTTAGGGAAAAATAGCCACAATCCTTTCAATGGCTGCTATGAAGAATTCGTGTGGCACTTTTAGATAGCCAACCAGATTCCAGAGCAGTTATATTTCAGTAGGAAAATGGAGATGACTGAACTTCATATCTTGTGATTATGATCTGGGAACATTTTGAATCTTGAGGAATATCTGGAATGTCAGCTTCATCACTTCTAAGTTGGATGCCTATCCCTCAGGGCTGGTTGGGGCCCTCGATAAAGGGGCAGAAAGTTTGATTTGAAGAGTAATCAATCCTTCTCCAAGTGAGGGCCTATGCCCTCTGTTCAAAGAACTTTGATTTGATTTGGATAATTTAAATCTATAATCTAGGAAAGATTCTAGAGAAAGTAGTGGTTCTGCAAGTCCAGAGAATCTAGAGAAAATGGTGTTTAGACATTTGGTAGTCATGTTATAGGCCAGGGTGCAGCATGGAAACTGCATTGGTTGATGTTGCACTTGTGAACGACATGGAGAGACTGGAATTGGGGGAGCACAACTACTATTGTCTGTTCCAAAGAAAGTTATGCTATAGGGTGTGGATTGCAATTGCATTACTTATTTTCTGGGATTTTCTATATTTTTGATTTTGTTATTTTTGTTGGTGTATAATTTGGGACTAGTTTTTCCCCCCCACTTTCTGGATGTCATTTTCTTTTATAATGAGACTGTTAACCACCCAGAGCCTTTGGGAATAGAAAGTATACAAATGAAGTAATTAAATAACCAAAACCATCTCTTACGGAGTAGAAGGTAATGTCTTGGACAACAAGCTGCTTTTAATTAACTTTAAAACAAAGCTCCTTAAAAAGGAAGGATATAGCACATTGCAAAGGAAGGCAGCATCTTTCAGCTGCATCTTTTAGGGCAGCAATAGATTTGGGCCCGTAGGAAGGCCTTTCTGATAACTATATACTTTGAACTAGGAGAAATTAGTGAACACAATGCATGCTTTCAAAATTCAAAATATGTTCTCCAACCCTTAGATTATTGTGATGCACAAATCATGATTAAAAGAAACCTTGCAACCTAGTGTAAAACAGGTACAGCCTTGCAATCTGAGTGAATTTAATATATAATTGTGAATAATAAATACTTTAAAGTGTGTATCAGTTCTAGTTAACACAAAGTATGTAAGCAATGTTGGGACTAGCTGCCAAACACATTGCCCAGCCTTCTTTCTATTGAATAGGGGAGAATCACCCCTGCTGAAAAATTGCTGGAAAGGACTATTATGTTATATTATGCCTGGTACTTTGTCCATATACAGCCGTGATAGCAAACCTATGGCACATGTGCCACAGTTGGCACGCAAAGCCATTTGTGCCAGCATATGAGCCGCAGGCAAACTTACCTCACATGTGCATGCCTTACAGCTAATTTTGGGCCAGTTTGAGGCCTTTTTTGGCCTCCCGGGGGCTTGAGGAAGGCTTCTGCAGGCCGAAAACTAGGCCCATTTCATCACTTCCTGTTTTTCTGAAAATACCAGAAGTGACAAAACGGGCCTAGTTTTCAGCCTGCAAAGCCTGCAGAAACCTTCCTCAAGCCTCTGTGAGGCTGAAAAAGGCCTCAAACTGGCCGAAAATCAGCTGTAAGGCGCAGTTCAGGTAAGGGGGTAGCAGGGTGGATTGGGCATGCATGCGTAGGGGCATGGGGGGGCGTGCATTGACTTCTGGGTGCTGGCACACGACCACGAGTGTGCAAGCACACGCACAATTTTTGGCACAGGAGTCCAAAAAGGTTAGCCACCACTGATATATAGGGACAAATGCTCAAAGAATGTCACATATAGCAAATTTTTAATGAATGACTGATGTTCTAATCCAGGATGTTTCAATCTGTGTTCCGAGGAGCCCTTACTAAGAAAACCTAAAAGGCAGACAAGCTTTCCTAAAAACACAGTTTGCTTGGTTCTTTGTGAATATTTCCTAAAACGTTTAGCCGGAAAATGTTCTTAGTCACTACCGCTTGAAGCAACTGTGGGGAACAAGCAGGCCTGTTGAAATGGCAGCCCCCGGGGTCTCTCACCCTTGTGAAATGAGGCGATAGTGCTGAAGATCCCCCCTAATCACATTCAGAGATACACAGCTGGAGATGGTAATTTAGATAATTGCCTCAAGTGAAGGAGCCTAAGAACAGAAATTAGATTTCTGTTTTTAAATCTAGACCGCCGAAGGAGGAGGAAATGAGCCACAAGCTAAGGAACAAAAATAAATAAATCCTTGCATCTTGTATGACTGGCTTTGTTGGGCCAGATGGGAATTGCATGGGAATAATCTGGAAGGACTTAAGGTGGAAAGCCTTACCTTTAGGGTGGTAAGAAAACTAGGAAGAGTAAAAGTATGAAGGGTGGAAAAAAATACTGAAGAACTGTTGGGTTTTCAGTTGTTACAGCCCATATTACAGGTAGTGCTCAACTTACAGCCACAACCGAGCCCCAAAGTTCCCTGGCTAAGCAAGATAGCTGCTAAGTGAGTTTTGCCCCATTTTATGACCTTTCTTGCCAGCGTTGTTAAGTGAATCACTAAGTTAGTAACACGGTTCTTAGGCGAATCTGGCTTCCCCATTGATTTTGCTTGTGCAGAAGGTTGCAGCTGCTGATCTCATGACCCTGGGACACTGCAACTGTCATAAATATGAGTCAGCTGCCCAACGTCTGAATTTTGACCACATGACTATGGGGATTCTGCAATGGTTGTAAGTATGAAAAACAGCCATAAGTTACCTTTTTTTTTCAGTGGCACTGTAACTTCGAGCAGTCACTAAACTAGGACTGTTTTTCTTACATGTATTTTGCATCTTACACCTAGATGAATTCAATGCTAAATCTTTTTAGTTTTCCAAGTATCATTTTCTCAAAGGAAAAGTTTTACTATAGCATGTTTCATTTTTCAGTTAAAGGTATAGCTATCTGGGAATGGTTTATTCTTTAAAATTCCCTGTACTGAAGCAATAGATACGGCCAAATTCCAGTGCATAGGAATCTTATTTTTAAAAGTATCTTGGGTGCTATAGCTAATTTGTATCAGCAATGGATGCTTTAGGAAATGAGCCAACAACCCAAAGCAGCAAATGCACCTTAATCCTTACTCATTATTTGCAGCATATTAAACCTCTTTAATTAGAGCATATATATTTTACAAGTTAAATATCTCTTCCATAGGGCTAAGAATCCCAAAGTGTACACTTACTGCACTGCAATTCTCAACATCTCTCTTAAATAGCTCAGCAGATTCAGTTTTGTTGAATAATCCACAGCAATCTAATTTGTTTTCCAATGATATCCGGGTGTTGTCATTCAGTAAGTTCCAGGTACTGCTCAAAATACTTTCCTGAAAGAAGAGAGAGAGAGAGAGAGAGAGAGAGAGAGAGGTGTTGAAAGCCAGTGTCATACAATGCAATTTTCAGTGACATGACATAAGGGCTTCTTAATTTTTGTCCATGTAGCCAAGAGAGTTAAATTTTTAATCTTCTACAGATAGTCCTTGACTTATGACCAATTCCTTAGCAACTGAATTTACAGCAGACTTCCCCAGGACTACTTACGATCCGAATTCAAAGTAAAAAAAGGACATAAAATGAGGCATAATCACGTGATGACCTGTTTAACAATTGGCATGACCTACAACCATAATTTGGGGCTCAATTATGGTCATAAATCAAGGACCACCTGTATGACTTAGCTACCTTGTGGGAAATGTCTGTGAGACAGCAGCTCAGGCCTATTCTCAAACCTGCCTCCCTCCTGATGCATTGCACAACTCCAGAAATCCCAAGTGGTACAGCAAAAGAAATTCTGGGAACTGTCTAATGCAACTGAGGAATAGGAAGTTGCACAGAATATAAACTTAATTAAATGACCGAAGTGAAATTAAATGAAAAGAAAGTTAAATGCACTCACTGGCTGTATTTGTTCCACATGCTAAAATAAACGTGGTTCAGTAGTTTGCTATTTATTATGTTGTGGGAAGTCAGTCGTTATCTTAACATGTTGCACAAGCCAACAGTTCACTGCTTAATGTGATGTGTTTTGCCACAGCACATTCCGTGAATAGAACTACTATATTAAGTTAATCACTGCACCACAACCCAGATATTGGATTCAATATTTATAATATTTTTATATATATTAAACTGGGTGAACAATTAACAGCTACACAGTGGGGCTGAAGGACATGCTGAACACACCTATGCACACAGACATACACAGAAACAAATGCAAGATTAATGTGATGCTCGGGTCAAGAAAAAAGTCTTCTTCTTACTAAGTTTGGGGAAAAAGAGGGACTTTACCCCTATGCTTATACTTTTGTTGACGCAAAAAGGATGGTTCTAACAGTTCCCTTCCTTAAAGTTGCCGAATCACAACTTCCACATTCAGTATCTCTATTTGTATCAGAAGTCTAAGGGATCAAAGCAGTGGTGGGATTCAATTTTTTTTACTACCGGTTTTGTGGGTGTGGCTTGGTGGGTGTGGCAAGGGAAGGATACTGTAAAATCTCCAGTCAGAGGGAGTATTTGCTGGTTCTCCGAACTACCCAAAATTTCCGCTACCGGTTCTTCAGAACTGGTCAGAACCTGCTGAATACCACCTCTGTACTCAAAGCAAATGGGCTGGAAGTCACAAATCTCACTCTGCTCATGGGATATCTTGCTAGTTGCTCCATTTCTTGTTCCTGTTTGTTTAAATGATGGGACTAGACACGAAAGACCATTTTTTGAAAGTACATTTGCTGCGGTGCAGGCTAAATATAGCCAGAAAAACTGAACGAAACTCAGGCAGAAAGGCAAGACGTACCTGCTTATGTGTCTTTAGTGCCAGGCATGCACAGGAAATCCCAAACTGGAAAATAAAGATTAGCCCTAGAATTATCATATACTGAAGATGCAATTAAGGAACATCTCGGGAAAAAATAATAGAGTTTGTGAACATCAAATAAAACTGTTACAGATCAAATGATATTTACAGGAAGAAAATTAACAGGAAGTAAAATATTCTCAAAATAAATATGGATTTTTCCAAGGTTACAAAAGTGGGAAGGAATACCTTTGAAAGATTGGGAATGGCATTTTTTAACATTAAGAATCCAGGTACATAGGATATTTCAAACAATCAAAGATAAACTACTATTCATCTAGCTCAGAGTGCTAATCCGAGTGGCAATGGTTTCTTAAGGATGGCGGCCAGGGAAGAATATTTTGGCCCTACCCATTAATAAACTCTTAAATCAATCATGGGTCTCGTATGTAAATAAGAATCCAGAAAATCCAGAAAACCATTCAGACTTTGCAGCTGACATTTTCCTCTGCACCATCATCGCGAAAGAAAAAGATGTTGGCTTTTCTAGAAGCTTTCTTGTAATAGCCCTTTGTTGGTTAACTATTGCTGAGCTGAACTCAAAGGTGACTATTTTTGGTATAATTTGCATGTGTCGGCGATGTCTTGGCACACACAGCAGCATTGACTGTTATTTCCTGTTGCCTTACATCAGCATTTTCTCATTTCAAGTTTGCTGGGGGCAATAAGGAAGTTGCTTGATACCACTTACGCTGCCTGTCTTTCATTCATGAGCAGCCTAATTCTGTTGAGAAATCCACAAGAAAACAGACATTGCTGTTGGAAGTGGGGGAGGTTGTTACAATAAAACAAGGTGATTTATGCTTCGTAGGCAGATTTCGAATGGTCAACAACTAGCCACAGTGTTTCAAAAGGCGGCTTCTCAGATGTTTTGTGGTTTTAGTAATGCTGATAACCAGGCTCTGCACAGAAACGCAAAGACCTTGAAATGCTCCGAAAGTTTCTTTTATAGTCATTCCGTTTTCTTAAAAAAAAAAAAAAAAAAAACCACCAACTTTTCTAAGAAACAAAACTGTACTTCTCAGAAAACCAGCTGCAGCTCAAGAATCAGTCTGGATTCCTATGTTAATTAGCCTGGTTGGTTTCCACAAAACATAAAGGCAGGAGTGCGAAAAATGCAACCTACGGATCGAATGTGGCCTTTCAGTCCTCTTTTAGGGCTCCAACAACCCTGGATTGGGTAGGGCCAAAAATTAATATACTGTTTGAACGTTTTCCAGTTGTGAAGAATTTTAAGGATCAAAATTGGTACTCTAAAAATTGCAGAGCCATAGGACGCTTATTTCACTTCTTAAAAATTAAGCTTTTGTCACCAAACATCTCTCTCATTTTAATTTTGGGTTCCAGCTATTTTTGGACCAAAGCCTCAAGTGACATAAGTTGTGTATTCTTGCATTAAGCTATAAACAATGGTTTATAATCTACAATGTCTAGTTGTGCACAATTGATTAAACTCAAACCAAATCAACCACATCATGATACAGCAGGGGTGTCCAACCTTGGCAACTTTAAGACTTGTGGACTTCAACTCCCAGAATTCCTCAGCCAGCTTTGCTGGCTGAAGAATTCTGGGAGTTGAAGTCCACAAGTCTTAAAGTTGCCAAGGTTGGACACCCCTGTGGTACAGTATTATATGAACTCCGGCTCAGTCTTCTTTTGTTAAACATTTCTTCAACAAAACTTGGGAAGCCAACTTTTATCCACCACACTACTGCTGAGATTGTATCAAGTCTCCTCCTCACCTCTTTATGGATGGCAAGGTTCCCTTTCTTTCTCTTTCATAACTCATTAATCAAGTTATATTGTTTTGATTAATGACTTTTTGTATAAGTCATTAGTTTATCAACAATCTGCTACTACTTGAACCAATATATCCATCACTGAAAAAAGTGTTAAAATCTTGTAGGGAAACAAGAACACGGTTTCCATGTTCCCCATACCTTCTTTTGCCCTATCATCAAAGTTCAATGAATAACTTAGAACAAGGGTCTTCAAACTTGGCAAGTTTAAGACTTGTGGACTTCAACTCCCAGAATTCCTGAGCTAACATGATTGGATGAGAAATTCTGGGAGTTGGAAGTCCACAAGTCTTAAAGCTGTAAAGTTTGAAGACCCCTGGCTTAGAATATAAAAATGTATTCCTACTAAGTCCTTTACATATCCAGCAAACTCTTCACACAAATTATGTTGGTACAGTGGATGGAAGTTACAAGAAGAAAATATTATCCCTTACCTTATTTATAGTAGAAGGCTACCCAAGTCCAGAAAGACATGCCACATTAAAGAACCAAAGAATACCAATCATGTGTCCCAAAAGCAAACACTCAACTACTATATATAATTCTAAAAACAGACTCACCAACTACTGTACCTTATCCCAAGCACATTAACAATTTCTATTCAGTAGATTTTCCCACATAAATACTAAAATGAAGAAGGAGCAATCCATCATTATCACTAATATAATCTCTAGTGATAAAGCTGGATTGCTCCTTGCACATCCAGATATATTCTGGTATCTATTGCATCCAAAGCGGATATGACAATCTAGGACAGTGCAAAAATGGACAGAGAGCATTTAATGAAAGCATTAAATTCAGGAAAAGCTAATGCTTATATATTTGTTTTAATGATACGTGCTTATACCTCAGCTTCTGCCCCGAGCAGATCATGGAAAGGAAGCGCTAGTCTGAATCTATCCACTGACCAAAGATGGAGCAGCTTCAAAAAGTTTGCTTTCTCCCTCCCTGCCAAAAAGAATAATTACAAAATCCCATAAACCCATCCTCCCAAATATCTTTCTTTTTATTGCAATATTTCAAATTCTGATTTTTTATTCTGAAAGTTTATGGGATAAGACTGACAATACAGGTATTTGTAATAAATATAAGAGTTTATTTCTGGCCTCTTTTTTGTAAGCTTTACACGCACTATTTTATAATAGATTTTCTGCTTGCAGTGCTTTACAGTTCTAGCCAAACACCAGATTTATTCATCAATTTATATATGCAGGATTATAATCCTATCTTAATATTACATGATCTGAGGGTTGGAAGGGACTACATCATAATCAAATTTTAATTCCTTGCCCGAGGGCAGAGTTCTTTATTAGTTATTTTCATCAACAGATTCACACTTTCCATACCATGAGAGAAACAGAAGCTAGCTCCTGGAGCAGAGCCTCGGAATGAAGGCAAGGCCAGCTATTATTCTCAATACAGAAGAAAAAAATATTACCTGTTTGGTAGTCTCAAGTACCCAAGTGAAAGTGAGAAAAACTTACAAATATATTTCACCAACGTATCTATCTTCCCCCCATATCCCTTAAATAAACTCCCATCAAGCATAGTAGGGGTGCAGTGGGAATTGTAGCTCATCAAGATCTAAACAGCCACAAATGTTCACTTTTAACTTAAGTAACCTAGAATAGCAATAGCAAAGCAATAGCACTTAGACTTATATACCGCTTCATACTGCTTCATAGCCCTGTCTAAGACCTTGAAATTCTCTGAAAGTTTCTTTTGAAGTCATTCCCCTTTTCTTAAAAACAAAAAAACCGCAACCTTTCTAAGAAACAAAACTGTACTACTAGGAACAGTTTACAGAGTTGGCATATTGGCTGCCTCTCTAAGAGGTTTACAGAGTCAGCATGTTGGGCTCCAATAATATGGGTCATTTTATTGACCTTGGAAGGACGGAAGGCTGAACCAACTTTGAACCGGTCAGAATCGAACTGCTGGCAGTGAGCAGAGTTAGCTTGCAATTCTGCATTCTAACCACTGTGCCACCGGGGCTCTTATTATAACTGGACAATTTCAATTTCAGTCATGGCAATGAGACATCTGGTGGAATTCTCATGTATTTAATTTTGCAACGTAGATTTCAGGAGACAGGCAAAAAGTTCTGCCAAGAGCATTAGAAAAGATACAAAGAAAAGCATGACTTGGTGATGGTTGATAGCACCAATGAGTCCCACGATGGCGATGAGAAGCAGGAAGAAGCCCACGGCAATGACCCCTCCGATGATGTGGAGGCTGGGAACAACCCCAAATCCTTTGCCCCAGGCAGCCACACCAATCAGTAGTAGACCAACCAGCTGGAAAACAAGGAAGATTTGGGGTTAGGAAGATGGAAAATTCAGAAACACTGAAAACAATTCCAACCTATTTAGCTTTTCTCTTCTCTTCTATAAAGTTGCATTATTTCCATTCCCAAATGCTACATATTGTCCTGCGATTATTGCTTTCATCTCAGCTCAAGCATAGCATTGCATCTATGAACTAGCCCCCTTTGGATTATAAATCCATTTAACCCAATTCCAGTAAACTGGCTTGAACGTCTGCTCAGTATCATTACCATTCTGGTTTTTGCAGCTGATGACAAGACTTTCTCATCAACCAGATTGTGGAAAAACTGGCCACATCCTATAAAACAGTTTTAGTATATTACAAAATTGCCACAATATCTCTGGAGTTAAGAGATCTGAAATGAAAACAGGGCTTTGTTTTTCTCAGTTTCCTATTGTTCATTCAAAATATTCAATGGCAAACTAGGTATTTTTTTAATTTTTTTTGTTTTGTTTTAAATATGGTTTTACATTGTGTGTAAGCAGGGGTGGGTTTCTACTGGTTCTGTCCACCTCTGTAGAACCAGTAGCAGCAGAAGAAGAGCAGCAGACATAGAACCGGTTCTATGTCTGCTGCTGTTTTGGCCAACCCGCCCACCTGGGCTCTTACCTGACCTTTATTTCCTGCTTTTTCAACTTCAGCTGTCGTGCGAGACACAGCTGCAGTTGAAAAAGCAGGAAAAAAGGGCTTCTTGAAAGGCTGCTCCTCGGCACGCAGCGTGCTGATAATTTACAGGCGTGCACGCAGTGTGCAGGGAAGCACATCGTAAATCACCGAACATCGAAAATCATCGAACCGGTAGTTAACCCTGTCGGATCCCACCACTGTGTGTAAGCCGCCTCGAGTCGCCATGGGCAAATAGGCAGCAATATAAATTAAATAAATAAATAAATATGTTATCTCCCCTCTAACGCTGCTGTATTTTACATTTATTGTAGAACAGCAAACTAACCCGAGAGAGAGGGGGAAAGAAGAGTTTCTTCCAGTGCCATTACAACGGAGTGACTAAGAGTGTCTCTTCTCTTCAGATTAAACCAACTTAAATATATACAGCAACTTTATTTGATAAGGACAGCCTTATCAACATCCACATACCCATAAAATTATATTTTCACTGTACTATCTTATGTTTAAATTATTCAAAATGTTTCCAAGTCAACAGAACATTGGAAAGTTAGACAAAGGCTGGCAAGTTATTTAGAGCTATAGTAAAGTCACTGTCCTGAGAATAACACACTTTGCCGGTTTACACTCTTTGAACATTTTTAATTACCTAATTCAATTTTCCAGTATCTTAGCTTGCAGGGTGTTAATTTCCAAAACAGAAAGATTCCTTCGCGCCTTTTGTTATGGGTATAGAGGTAAGAGACTTTCCGATTGATACAGCACCCAACCAATGAGTGCCATTCTCCACAAAAGAGAGAAGAAAATTACGGCCTCGCTTACTGACCAGTTAAAGTTATGAAGGTGCTGGGGGGAAAAAAAGAGACAGCTGGTTCTTGAATTTCCAGCTGTCACAACATGTCATGTGATTGCAATCTGGCCTCTTGGCAACCAGCTCACACTTATCACATTGCCTTCCATTGCCTTGGTTCTCTTCTACTGATTAGCTTTGACCACAAAAAGTTGTCCAAATAAGGGGAAAGGATACAGAAACAGAAATGTGACAAATGTGCTTCTCAAACAAGAATATCAAGTGCAAGGTCTCTTCAATATATACAAAGAGAAGATATTGCTCAGATATGGAGGTCCACACGTGCCATAACAAGGCCAGGGCAATGTCTAGTCATAAAGATGCAGAATAACAATGTTGGAAGAGACCTTGGAGGTCTTCTAGTCCAACCCCCGGCTCAACCCTATAACATTTCAGACCAATGGTTGTCAAAAACTTCCAGTGTTAGAGCACCCACAACTTCTGAAGGCAACTTCTGTCCCACTGGTTAATTGTCCTCACTGTTAGTAAGTTTTTCCTTAGTTCTAGGTTGGATCTCTCCTTAATTAGTTTCCATCCATTGCTTCCTGTCCTGCCTTCAGGGGCTTTGGAGAATAGGTTAACACACTCTTCTTTGTGGCATCCCTTTAGATATAAGAATACTGCTATGACCTATATAATTATTACAATGTACTTATATTAGAACTCAAATTCAGAAACGCCTCTGCAAAGAAATAGGTGAAGCTATTAAAAAAGGGGTGAAATTTGATTCACGTCATGGGCTGGAAAGTTATCCCATTTTTCTCTCACTTATTAGCAATTCTCTCAACAGTTTTTGACATTGCAGGTTTGATAAAATGAAAAGTAGGAGCTAAACACAAGAAGATATATTTTAAAACGATAGACTGCTATTTGAAGTCTAAATATTACAGACTAGCATTTGAAGTTTATTTTATTTTTTCAACTTACTGAATAACTTACGCTTATTAAATTAACGTTGCTGCCAATCTCACCGAACTGACTCTGGGCAGCTTACATAATTAAAAACAACAAAAATTAGAACTAAGTGCCACTGAAAGCAATTAAAACAGTTAATAAGAACACTAAAGTAATTGTAGGCGAGCCCGAGTTTGAAGGAAAAAATACCAGAGCTTCACTGGTAATAGGTGCAACTCAGGGGAATCTGACTTTCAAGTTGACTAATGCTGGCTGTATTGGCAACTATCTATTATTAACCATCTATTAATCTAGCTTTAGCTGTTTGGGCAGGAAGGTAACAAGGATAGTCAAACAAGGCCTAGGGAGAAAATGAAGGCAGCAGGTTGTTGTTTAAAGTGGGGAAGCTTAAGAGACATTACTTTTTAAAAGCATTTGCAGGACTATAACACCAAAGAGAGCAACTGTCTTCCACCCCGTCTCTAATCCTCCTCTATGGAAATTCTCAGTCATCCAAGTCATGATTGTCCCCAAAGTGCTTTACTCAAGAGGCAACTGGACCTTCTTGTGTTTCTTTGAAGATGTTTCACTTCTCATCCAAGAAGCTTCTTCAGCTCTGACTGGATGGAGGGAAATGGAAGGATTAATACTCCTTGCAGAAAAGCCCCATCACCTAGGATGACCAGCTGTCTTGCAAGGGGTATAAATCCTTCCATTCCCCACCATCCAGTCCGAGCTGAAGAAGTTTCTCGGATGAGAAGCAAAATGTCTTCAAAAAAAAAAAACAACCCAGAAAGTCCAGTTGCCTCTTGAAAAAGCACCTAGATTAATAGATGGTTAATAAAAGATAGTTGCCAATCCCTTTTCCTTCAAGCTCAGACTCGCCTATGAATTATTTTGCTAATTAACTGTCTTGATTGCTTTCAGTGGCTGTTATTTCTAATTTTGGTTGTTTTTAATTATGTAAGTTGCCCAGAGTCAGTTAGGTGAGATTGGCAGCAATATTAATCCAGCTGCTTGCAGTTCCAGAAGGCACTCAAGAAAGTGGATTATCTGGACTCTTTTTAATCGGGGTTCAGATCTGGTTACAGCATTGAGAAGGGCCCCCGATTGTGCTTGTCAAACAGGACCTCTGCTGTGCTTGAGATGGGAGCTGTACATCCATCCTGGTTCTCCTTGATTTCTCCTCAGCTTTCAATATTATTGATTATAGTTATCTTTCTGGACCAGTTCAGGGGACCGGAAGTGAGAGGCACACAGGGGTGGGCTGCTGGGGGTTCGGGAGACCCCCTAGCTAAGATTCTGTGCTGTTCGGAGAACCCCCAAATACTATTCCTGGGTGGCCCCGCCCACCCCTCCCAGGAGTCCCTACGTGGCCCGTTTTGGATGCAGGTAAATGCAGGATGCGCGTGGAGGCTTGGGGAGGGTGAAAAACAGGCCTCCCAGGAGTTTGGGAAGGCTGGAAATGGGCCTGTTTCTGACTTCCAGAGAGCCTCCGGAGCTCGGGGAGGCCATTTCCTGGGGAAGACAAAAATGCCCCCCCGCCCAATCCATTGGCACAGGGTTATACCGTGTCCTACAGATGATATCAAATCATCCATCGCTACTCCAGATTGACCAAGAGATGCTATCAAGGTTCTTTCCCAATGTCTGAAGTCTGTGCTGAAGAAGAAGAAGAACATGCTTCAAGTTCAACTCTGGCAAGACCAAGCAGCTACAGTGAGCACCTTAACTTTCCAGATCCTGAGATTTTTCCATCTTTGGCTCCGAGTAGGGTTGCGCTTCCTCAGAAAGGACTGGTTTGCAATTTGGGGGTTCTCCTGTACTCAGGGTTCTGGCTAAAAGAGCAGAGTTCTTTGCCTTGTGCGTCAATTACACCCATTTCTGAGAAGCCTCAGTAACTCATGTCTTAGTCGTCCACTGGTTCGATTACTATAATGCAATCCACATATGCCTGCTCTTAAAGATGTTTCACAACTAGTCCAGAATGCAGCATCATGGACTTTTGGGGACATATCACAATATATTCATGAATCACCCCTGTTCCATGAACCACAATGACTTTCAGTAAACTTCATAAGTGCCAAAAATGTCATAAATCACTTTTTCCCAGTAATGTTGTAACTTCAGTCACTTAATGAACTGGTATAAGTCGAGGACTGCCTGTATTGTAGCCTTACAATAATGCAGAATTAGCTCATATAATTGCCATGTCCTCCTGTAAGACTTACTTGGCAAGACTGATGACCTTGACAGAATTAATGCAATAAATAATTGTAATTATTCAATAAACAATAAGTGAGTCGGGGAGGAGGGTATGGCTGTACAATATAGCTGCAGGGATGCCTCAAAAGGAAAATAATGCTATCATCCTCAGTAAGATGTTTGCAGTTTGTGAATTGCAGCTATTTGGGGAAAGAGAAATTTAACTCTCCCTTCTCCACAGATTATACAGATAATCACTGACTTACAACAGTTCATTTAATGATCATTCAAAGTTACAACAGCACTAAAAAAAGTAACTTGTGATCATTTTTCACACTAACAACCACTGCAGTTATGATGGTTGAGGTCATGTTATCACCTTTTGCAACTTTCTTA